AAAATGTCCTTTTTTGTATTATTTGTTAAGCTTATTGGGTATATTGCTTGTAAATTAATAATGGCGAGCGAGTGTTTTCTGTGGCTCACTCTGTAGGCAACGAAAGCCCAACTCAAAAGTTTCTGAACTTGAAGAACAGGAAAAAGTTAGAAAATTTAATGATGTCTGCATAAAACCTAAAAAGCAAAACTGTCAATGGCGAAAATCCGAAAGTGCATGCGCAACAAGGCGGTACCTGATTTCCTTTTTGAAGCTTTTGTTAACCTTTGAAAACAGGATAGAACAGGCAGTAGGATATTGAGGTTTCTTCCACGGACATGCACGTTTTGTACCCGTTCGTGCTGGTGTGTCCAGACGTTTCCTTCGTGTTATAGTGCCCTTCTACGGCGAGTTACCCATGACCTTCAGAGCTGCACACTGGCACCGTTGTTACTCGTGACCTATAAAGAAGTAGTCTTCTATGAGGTAGCGAATAAGGCGAGTGGGTAAACGTCATACATGATGAAAACCGCTCGAACGACGACGGCGGAGTGAAAAAAACAAACACGACAGGACGAAGCTGTTCTCGCAACTAAAGTTTTGTTAGTGAAATAAACAGAAAAAAAACAGCGTAGCCAACACTGATTACATCAACAAACACATACTTATCTATTAGGCACTACACAATATTTGGAACTGAAACGGTTCACACACCGCTATTCATATTAGCTCGCAAAGAACAAACCTCTTTATTTGACAGGGCTACTGACGGCACACTGCCAGTTGCCAATAAATTGTTGTCTTCTTTACCGGTGTACGATGTTCTGATTTTGTACTTGCGGCTTCATTAATATACAGAATAGGTGATTACTAAATTCTGATGAATTAGTAAATACGCCCAATGAACTTCAGAATATTACAAAAAAGTGGACATATTTTAATGAAGTGACGAGTGCGAATTATGTTAAATGGCAACGTTTGACGCAGAATCCGCTAAGTTAGAAAAAAATCGGTGAGCTTTCCTCCGCAATCGCTCAGAAGCCGGTGAGCTTTTCTCCGCATCTGCCGGTTTTGCGGTGAGTTTTTCTCCGGTGAGCTTATCTCCGGTGAGCTTTTCTCCGGTGAGCTTTTCTCCGCCGCCCACAATGTATATGTGTATAAACATCTATATTTTTTTTTAATGTGCTTGTAATTGCGGTTTCGAGATCACTTGGGTGTGTTTTCCAAAAAAAAAAAAAAGGTGTTCTCTTTGTGGTCTCTATGTCTGGGTGCGTCGCCACGGTTTAGAGGCCACCTGTGTGTGTTTTTTTTTTTTTGGGTGTGTGCGCTTTGACGCGACTGTTAGGATAATTCGGGACATGTCTTCTCAAAGTCACTGCGATGTTCCGCAGTGTCCTATTTTTAAGTCCGCGTCTCATGTGTGGGTTGTTTTGTATCTTTTGCGCGTGTTCCATCCGGTTCGAAATGTCTGCTACAAAGGAGTATATCTGTAGAGTGTGGTTGGGAAAAAGTTCCGTGTGTACTTAAAGGCTGTTTGAGAAATAAACCAGTTAGCTGAGTTTGGGACGTTCTCTGTGTCTGTTCCTTCTACTGAAGGTTCTTCCGATTTCTTCCACCGCAGTCTCAGGTGTAATACGACATGATTTGCTACCACCAGCTCACCTGCACACTCACCGTCTTTTCACTAGTAATTTTAGTGTTAATGAGCACTAGAGGCTCTTTGGGCAAGTCGTGGGACACAGCATTCATGGCAGCAGGGCGGTACGCACAGCATACCAGAACCTTGCCATGTTTGTGGGAGGTTCCACCTCCAGGTTACGGCGTCGCCAAATGGGTAATCGGGAAGGTAAGATGACCAACACACCTCTACAGTTCTTAGCAGGATCCTTTCTGTAAACAGTGTGCTCCACTGTATCAATCAATAAGGAGACGGCCATAAATCGAGACCTGCATCCACGTTTTATATACCATTAGAACTGTCGTGGGATGCGTGTCGGGAAGTGAGTGAAGGTGCAGCAGTTTATTCGGAAATAAGTGGCCATTTTGAGAACTACACTGCGAGTTCAAACAACGCACAAAGCTCGCATCTCGCAGCGTCGCTTGTAGAATGGCCGTTCCGAGAGTCGGGACACCCTGAAGGTAAGAGCGTTGATATCGAAGAGCTCAATATGGGGGGGGGGGGGGGGGGGGGGGGGGGGGGGGCTACCGATGTTTCAAAAGTCACTTACCGTAGTAATCACATTCCATAGACGCCGCGTTGTCGTAGACTGTTTTTCACCTGATACGTCATGTAAAGCTGAGGACAGGATTGGGGGATTGGTCGCCGGAAAAGTGGAGAGACCAGGCAAACGACATGAGGCTCGCGGACGCGGTTTGTGGGTGCCAACGACGTCCGAGCCATGGTCCGAACAACCTTAGAAGGGGCCTTGCTTCCAAGACGACTGAATATTCTCTCCGGCAGGCACATGATATCTAGAGAGCGTGCTTGTGGCTGATTAGGATTGCAGGAGATTAATAACAGCACAATCAATGCACCACAAATAGGTCGGGCACGGCACACGGCACAATGATGGTCGCCGACATGTTAAAGTGAAACAAAGCCAACTTTCCCTTTACAAATATTTATACAACTGTTAAAACAGTTTTCTTTTTGTGTTTGAATGTTTAAATTTAAGTCGACTAAAACACGTACATTAACGTTGCATCAAATGGTTTTGGTCGGACTCTGAATGGCCGTAACGGTCGGAACCAGCGAGCGCCGCCGGATTGCAATCGCCATCGTAAGAAAATGCAAAGCCAAAGCGAGTTATAAATTTTCGGGCGCTTCTGTGCACTAAAAAAAGAAAAAAAAAAAAACGTCATAGAATCTTAAAAAAAAAAAAAAAGAAGTGTCCCACGCGCCGGCGCGCCCATGGGCCAGCTGTGGATTTGAGCTTGCTTGGTGAGTGCTCGCACAACCGTTTTACTTTTAAAGTCCCTCTTTTTCTGTGCATTTACGGCGTGTTCTTCGGTGTGCAAGCAGCATGAAAGCGAAAGTGTGGTTCCTTGTCGAACACGTGCTCCGCGCCTTCGATGATCCTCAAGCTTTTACCAAGGAAGTCCCGGAACCGACCTGTCATTGTGCGAGCAGTCATTGTGGGAACGCACGCAGGGGCCAAGGGCCCACTGGAGGCACCGGTGGCCGAGCGAGGCAGTTGGCTCGGAGCTTTATCGCGTATATCGGTGCACAAGGCATGAGTTCTGCAAATCGGGTGGCAGCTTGGTACCACCTAGCTTGGCGGTGTGTGTGGTTTGCGGAGTCCATGACTGCTTAAGGTACCCGCTATCGGGCTGGCCCTCGTATTTGCACCCCGTTTGTTTCCACCGCGGGAGGTCGGATTCAAGTTCAATTTTCCTCCTTTGCAACTACTCGGAACATTGCGTGGCATGTGCCTTTAGAAGTAGGGCGTGTATTGATGATGTCGATTGCGAAGTGTATGAGCAGCTCTTTTTGGACTAGGTCACAGACTTTTTATACAAAATGCTGTGTATGTTGCGCTTATTACGAACATTTCGCCAGTAATTTATTGTGAAGGTGGAAAAAAGTGCGTTGAGTCGTGACAAAGTAACGGAAAAAAGCTATTTCAAACAACTTTCTTGAAGAGACCATAAACTGAATTTTCCATTACTTCCTCCTCAGCTTTCCTCCTCAGTTTATAAGCAAAGTGACAAATTTGCGTGGTCGTATCTCACTGGAACAGAAAGTTTTTCCAGCAGTATTAGAGTTGGCAAGGCGATGAAAATTCACGCTTCCCATTTTCGCAACGGCCGACAACCATAATTGTGTGAGCGCGGAAGACACATGACAGGACTGAGTTATATGCTGCCCTTCACTTTCAAGTGCCTCTCATTTCAGGGATATACACTACCATATGCTTCCATGTGCTGCACGGGCCTCGTGCGCTGGCACTTTGACGCCAATTCTGAAACTAACCCAAACACACCTGTGGGATTCAGGAGGGGTTATCCTTCCTACATGTCGATGCTGCTGAATTAATTTTGTTAAAGTTAAAAATGAATAGCACTCTCCATTGATGGCTTCACACTACGGACTAATCCGTAGACGGGTTGATCGTATTCGCAGTTCGTCCGTCTCCCAAGTGCATTTACACGAAGGAGCAGACGCACAAACGACAGCCAGGACAGACCGAACATGTTCGCGACCCCACTGTGCCTCAAAACTCTCATAATGCACGATAAGATCGCACTGTGGCACCGCTCTCCAAGATCGAAATGGACATATTCTACTTCGAAAAAGTACTGTACGCCGCTGTTACGTGCACAGCGAGACATAACACCGTGATAGGCTTAGCGCGAAGCGCCTCTAGCTTTACTAACACAAGGCATGCCAGAGACATAAGCATGGTCCTCCTCGAGATGGCTTCGGCGTAAAGGCAACGAAGTCACGGGTTCGAAAAAGGGCATTTGAGATACCTTCCCGCACTCCGCAATCGCGAATTCAGTACACTAAAGCCAGAAGAAAGGTATTGCTTGGTGAAATGTTGAATAAGATGACAACTTAGAATTTCGTTTTGAGGTATCCTCAAGATATAAAAATTTACGAATTCTTAAAGACGGACATTGGGAAAATTACGTTTAGTATCATGAATATTTTTGAAAGCGCGGCGTTATATGTAGCTTTCAGAAGCCATATGTCTAACATAATGCGCTCGTCGGAAACTGAAGACGGCAACAGCTGCAGTGACGTCAAAATGAATCCCTTTTCACAACCACGTGCGGTGTAAATAAAGTTTTTTCTCTCTCTCAAAATATGTGCAACTCCTCCTTGGTTCTCAAGTAGCCAATTGAAGTTAATCTTGCCACAAACAAATAAATAAAACTTTTGTTTTTATTTCTTTTGCGCCTTTTCTCACTTGTGATTGGTTTGAGCATCTAAGCAACTGTCTTTGTTAAAGTATAAATATCTCAACCCACTGTCGTCGCAACACATTTGAAAATATTACTTCAGGCTGAATCTGAAAATGTATTTACAGTCGCTCCTTGTTATTTTCTGTCTTTTAATTTGTAGTTATTCTCAAGATACAGCTGGGGTAACTCCACTTCCAGAGGACGACCCGAGAAACTTTCAACAACAAAATGCAACAAAGGTTTGTTATTCACTATTAATCTCTGACATAAAATATTCGAGGTCATGTTAAATTAGCTATGGTAACATTATTTTGTATTAATAACATTTCTATGCTTCTGACTACTTGAATCACTAGCGCTCGGAAAGCATTTACGATACCCTTGCTCATAGTGCATTTCGGAAGGTTGGATGCTGTAAGCTTAATCATGTTTTATTTGCGAGTAAATATTAAAATAACAGTTTAATCTGAAAAAATAGCATTTATAAATCATATAGGAAATGGGACGAAAAGAACCAGATCGTAAAGCGCTTCTGGTCCGAACTTCAATGTTCTATTCCTCGCGCTGCGAGGGCATCTCAGCTTGGTTGTCGACACTGTTGTCCTGGCCTGAGCGGCTGTGAGTGTCGCCACAAGCTCACCCCTGTAGAGTCTGGGGTTCTAGGAGAGTCCCTGTAACACGGTTTGATGCGCGCGTTGACGGTGATGACAATGCAGAAGTAGTTGAAGTTGGAACGAGGAAAGTCTATTGTAAGTAAGTCTGTTTTACCCGGTCGGTTGCCACTACGTCATTACAGCCGTTGATCTCCTGTGTGAACATCTTGGCTTGGCGATGAAGTACTCGAAACGGATATTCGTAGGCCGGTACATGTGGTTGACGAATCTCCTTGCGTCGCAAGAAAACATGCGAGCACCTCTCGAGGTCTTGGCTAACGAACGACGGCTCCGTTGAGGTGGAAGAACGAGCCAGGCGAGACGAGAGGTTCGTGAAAGGCCGTCGATGTAACCATTACGGTCTTCTTTTGACTCGGGGGAAGGCGAAAAGAATAATTGGCCAGGTAGAAGCAGGGGTGCACCATAGACTAACTCGGCTGCCGAACAGCCAAGATCTGCTTTGAACACCGGGCGAAAACCTAGGAGTACGATGGAAATGTTCGCCCAATGGTCTCCCGGCTCGTAGATGGAGAGTGCTGCTTTCAACCGTGGGTGTAGCTGTCCCACCATGTCGTTGGTCGACTGATTATGAGCGGTGATGTGGATATGTCGGACGCCCAAGATGGTAATAAAGGTGGTGAACAGGGTGGATTGAAACTGCCTTTTCCTGTCGGTGCTGACCGCATCAGGGAAACTGAAACACTGGACACCCAGTTGTCGATGAAGGCTGCTGCGACTGTCTCTGTTGTCATGTCAGGGACGGGGAATGCGTCAGAAAATCTTGTGAATCTTTCCACACACGTCCCGAAATAGTGGGCTCCCCGTGATGATGAAAGGGTTCTCATTAGATCGATGTGGATGTGTGCGAATCTGGAGTCTCGTGGGCGAGAGGGTGAGAAGTGGTCTTTGTGTGTCGTGTGATCTTGAGGCGTTGACGTTGAATGCAGGTCAGGTTTTGTTATTTAATTACATAGGAACCTGCATCGCCATTTTGGCATTATTGCAGGGTACTTTGTGTACAGAACTTTTCTCGTTACTATTACACACAAAAAATGTTTTTTTTTACTTATTCCACCTTAGATCAAAGTGTTGGGTCCGTCGTTCACAAACTCACGAAGCTGTGACATGGTGAATGAGCGTGAAGCATTGTAGGTTTTATAACCATTCTCAAACCGAAAGTAGGTCGGCACAACTTGCCTTATAAAAAAATGGACTTCGACATTTTTCTTTTTTTTTATTTTGGAGGGGGGGGGGGGGGGTATTTTGAGATTTGGCAGCTCAGTCCTGGTTCAGGTCGAGTTACCCAAGCGGCCATGCCTGGCTGCCAACACCGCTGGCTCTCTTGCCGAATCCCCCGCCTCGTTTCTCGTGCTTTCCACAAATTTTCTTTTTATGATATTTATGCACATTTTTCCACCTGGTCTCAATTTTCTACGGAACAACCATGTTTAACCAAAAAATTTTAATATGGTAGACAGGATTTCAAAATAATTTATCAAAATTGAAATGTGCCTTAATCTTAAAGATGAAATAAGGAGACAATGCGTGCAGCGTATGCACTCTCATGTATCGATCCTTACAGTTATTCTCATTATTCATTATGAACAATAGGGACTTATTAAATGTAGCTCCATTTGGCGACACATAAGTTCGCTAAATGTAGCGACGTTGTGAACTTTTTTTTACACTCTTCTGCAGCGTCCCGATCAATCTCACAGAAGCCAACAATATGAATGCTACTCTCTTTGCAAAAACAACCTGTTCTTAATAGATTCATAAAACGTTCTGATGTATACTGCGCTGCAATGTTAGACTTAACACATAAAGACGTAAACTACGAGATGATATGAAAACCTGTTAAGAACATAACGCGCTTGTGAATGCGCAGGATGAACTTCTGCGCATTCACAAGTGTGTCATGTTCTTAACTGGCTTTCCTATCATCTCGTAGTTTACGTCTTTATGTGCTGTGTGTACTTTTACAGCGCAGTATACAGCAGGGTGACGAACCAACTAGCCCAAATCCAAGCATCATTAGTCTTCAAAAACGTTACTTTTTGATAGGGAATGAACTGAAGATTGTCTTGGTGCTGCTCAGAATGCGAATAAATAATAGACAGAGAACCAAGGGACGGCACGAGCACCTCTTCCAGTGGAAGGTGCACGTCTTGACCCCTTACTTGCGTAATCTTTCTACGTACCCAGATTTTTAGGGACTCCGCGCTAGAGCTGTGAGAACTCTTGAATACTCAATTGCTAACAATGTGCTTAGGTTCATCGCTCACCTCGCGGGTGGAGTGGGGGGATTGCACGCAGCTTGCTGAAAAAAGATGTTAAAAATGACGCACGCTTATAGTCCTCGAGAGAAAACCTGCACTAGTAAATAAAAAAAGTGCAGCGTGTCTTGGCTTTCAGCTGGCCAATTAAAATTAATTTTGTCGTAAAACAAGATGGCGTTTGAGTTTTTGTAAATTTTGTTCACTTGCAATTGAGTTCAGCACCTCAGTTACTGTTTTCACTTCAAGTATAAATACTGCAATCGTTTTCAATATGAAAAGTCGTTTCAAATTGAATCTGAAGATTTATTTTAAAATATTTTTCGCGGTTTCTTGCCTTTTTATTGGTGTTTACTTTTAAGATTAAGCGGAGACCACTACATTTTCCCCTTTACCGGGGGGAAAATGCGTAGTTGTTTGGATCACCGTCGCGGTGGTCCAAACAACCACGCTAATCAAAATACAAGAGCAGCATATTTTTGACCATTGTATTTGATTTCTCGCTATTGGCACAGTAAATATATCATAAAGGAAAATGGAGCTTTCAGCGAGATATTCAGCAGAATAATTTCTCGAAATAAAGAACTAAGGAGAGTAAAGCAAATAACGTTTTATGAAACGAAATTTTCGACTGAGGAACATTGTCTCTTGTCATCACTTCGTGTATTACACCCGATCGATATTTTCTTTCAGGATGGTAATATATAAGCTGTCATAAACGCGGCCTGATATAGTGTTTCACATATATTTTAAATTAGCGAAAAACGTATATTTTATTATACATTCATAAATGTTGATCTGGAGCGAACGTTTGTTTTAATTTCTACCGAACCTAAAAACCAAGTACAAAATAGGCTGCTTTCATTACACTGCAAGTGAATAAAAATATTTGCGTCGTTTTCTTGGTATATGAATGAGCGTTTAGCCTATTTCATGTTATCCATAATGCTTTTGATGTATTAATATCAATTGTCATTAAAAATTCATAACATTTCAATTTAATATATTGAACATCTATGTGCATTATTTGACATTGAAATGCGTTATTTTTTCTACATCTCGTTTTTTCGTCGGTCGGAGATAATGGGAAAACACATGTTTCCTTGCATAACTCGGTTGTGTCAATGATTTATTTCATCTTCCGGAGCGCAAAATCTAAGATTCGAGCAATGGGTGATAGGTTTCATGTGCGACATTTGACGTGTCATTCACAAGTTCAGCTGGTTTCTGGAAACAAAACATTTATTACGACCTGATTTTGCGTGGTTTATTGAATCTTATAATCCCCAGTGGAATCCAGCAGGGGTCCTAATTTACATGGTAGGACCGATCGCAAACAAGTGACGAGGTCACCGTCGTCCACTACGATGATTTAGCGGTGAGGAGCTGGACAATAGACCTTATTCATTATTCGCGCCATCTATCGGCGGCTACGGGTACTATCAGAGGCTCGGCGCCATCTTTGAGGCTTCGCCACCGCCCCGCCGCCCGCCGCACTACGAACCACTCTCCCGGCGTTGAGTTCGTGCATGTTCTTGTGTTTTTTTGTTTGTTTTGTTTATTGATGGTGCCAGCCGCTTGGGAAGAAATTACGAATATTAAGCTCAAGTTTGTCTTCAGTGGTTTTACCAAGAATCTCTCTTTATAAAAATGAGCTTCATTCCAGCACCAGAGCAGGCCGACTCACGCACTGTTTTAGAATCGTGCGTTAAATTGCCTGCCCAGCTGATTATGCTTTCTCGCACAAGGACGATTTGTATGATATATTTCTCTTTACCATTCATGTGCGAACGAAGTTGTTACGTTGCCTAGCTCTTCTGCACTTTGCATCAGCCTTCTATCGGGTGTAAAAGACTTGCTTAAAAGAGAAAAAGAACAAAAAAAAAAGTGAAAAACAGTGTATCTGAGGGATGTTCTCTGGATCTCATCATTCCTCTGCGCGAGAGAAGCTACAATGCTAGCCAACCTCAAGCTGCCAAAACAATCACATACAGTAATAGATGCTCGATAATTTCACATAGAAACATCATGTGCCCTTCATGCCATTGTGGAATGTGTCATATATTAAGAAAGGTTCAGGAGCCCTGTAAAAGCACGCAACACTAACGAGCGGGTGCTCTTTTTGGGAGCATGAATAGTACAGTAAAGCGCTACGGTTATTCAAACGTTGGCTATAACACCTTTAACTCGAAAAGAAACCAATACAATCCGAAGCTTTACATCGGTTCTTCTTTTTTTTTTTTTTTTTTTGTTTGTTGAATACGTAGCGGTCGCTGCGCGTACGGCCGTACGGTCGCTGCGCGTACGGTCGTACGGTCGCTGCGCGTCGCTTTCACACGCCGGAAACGGCCACAGCGCTTTGCCAGTCGCCTCAAAGATGGCGTCGGAAGGAAGGTTGGCGCCACGTCCGATAGATGGCGGGCGAATCTGAATAAGGTTTATTGAAGCTGCCTGCGATGTGCCGGTCCCCCCGTCCCGCTCGGTCTCGTGTGTAGATTTCGGCCCCAGGTCTTTAAATAACATATACAGATATGGCGGACTCAGGCAGATAATAACTCAAAAGATTAGATAGTATTCGGTATCACTTTTTGAGCACACCACATACGTGTATGTTTTAGAGCGCAGCTCTTAGGGACCCGTTTCCAGCTTGAGCGGCGTCGCCGTCGGCGTAACCGCGCGGTGCATTATGGGTAAATCGCCCGCTAAATCTAGGGGAAAAATTCCCCCGCTAAATTTAGCGGAAAAATTTCTCTGGGGATTACGTAACAGGGGGGTCGCGTGATCCCCCCTCGAGGTCACGTGACCCACCGAGGTCACGTGACACCCCCCAGGTTACATGACCCCCTCCCCGGGGTCACGTGACCCCTCCCCCAAGTCACGTGACCCCCCCCCGACGTCACGTGCCCCCCTCCCCCGAAACACGTGACCCTCAGTACCCTTCCCTCCTCCTCCTCAAGAGCTGCGCTCTAATTCGGCATTACAGGGAGTTGTAAACGGCTTTCACTTCTTGGATGCTACCTTTAAAACACTATATTGTAGATAATGCGAAAAACAACGAGCGGCATTCGGGTTTGTATTTTAAGAAGTCCTAAAAAGAGAAGCAGTGTTAAACTAGTGCGATCTAAGTCCTGACTTTTATTGCTGCTTGCTGGCGAGATTGCAGATAGAAATCCAATAGTAATAGCATGAATCAGTCCTCGCTAAAAGCTGAAGACCCGAAGTTTTCTTTTTTTTTTTTTCTTTTTGGAAGCCTTAGTTAGTACCAGCTAAGTTCTGCTCTCAGTGATACGATTAATCTTCAGTCACATCAGTATGAGTTGTATTTTGATATAGGATGTTGTTATATTTTAGTTGGTTCAATTACGTGGAAGACACTGGGTCAAGAAACGAACATACGAAGTGACGACGCCAAAAGGAAAGCCAACGTGTGAATATGCTGAAATCCTGGACGAGGTGAAGGAAAATGAATACACCTTAGAACTGGGAGCTAAATTAGGATCCGAGTAAGCAATATATATTGATTTTTGTTTCTTGCTATCTCGCAATACACCAAGACATCCCACAAAAAATATCGCACTAGGAAGCGTCAAGTGAAACTAACGGTATAACAAATCATTCAACAAGAAAAAAACAATATATCGTGCAGGCATATAAGACCATTCTTAGGTCAAATATTAAGATGATATATTAAAGACAAGGAAAAAAAAAACGAGTCAATATTTTTGAAACTAGAAAAAAGAAAATGATAGTGAGGCAGTTATAGTTCACAACAGAATGTACCCTTTTCAAATGTGCGCGCATCTAGTAGCTGCTGTGTCAATTATGCTAGCCCGCCATTGTTTGGGCAGGTACTCTGAGCTTGTATTGGGCACGAGGGTTGCGTCAATGTTCGGCGAGAACTCGGATCTAGCCCCACGCCTCGTGCCCAAGACATGGTGAACGCCACTGTGGCTAGGCGAACTTTTAAAAGAGGGACTATTTTCAGCTGTATAAAATAGTATATCCTGCAACCAACAATGCCATTAATCTTGCAAATATATTTAATTTTAAAATGATCGTGCGAAAAGTAATGGTATAGTAACAATGGGGTGATATTTGCACAGTTTTGGAAGCCAGCGAAAGCGGGCTAGGCTTCTAGAGCGAAAGCTATTTTTGTGCTATCTTCTTTTTACCACAGAATGATGGTACGCTCGTTTCTATCAAAATTTAGACTAGCTGGAGCACGCTGGCAAAAACTAACACACAAAACGCGTTTTGAGCTACCATACACATAAAGTGTGTGGTTGCGCTAGCCCTGCACACATCAGCGCCACCCTCATCCAGCAGATATAAAAGGCGCAACTTTTGCATTTTTTGTGTTTGGTAGCTCGACACGTTCTATCTCTGTCGGTCGTTGCAGCATGATCAAGCTAATCGAACATTTTTATAACGCAGTTAGTATTTTAATTGTTACTACTCAATTGTTTTCAAAAAGCTCGAGGCTCCCATACTTTATTCGAAATGTTTTGGTGTATTACAGGTGGACTACAAATCAGCAAGCATTGTCGCTGGAAACCACTAATCCCCATTCAGCACCGAACGTGCTCAAGTTCACCAGACTAAGGGGTATAGTTGATTCATTATAAACGTAACGGTAATTAATTATTGTGTAGTGAGAATCATACATTATTTAAAAGGACAACTCACGGAAACCCTCTGCCAGAGTATTATGGTCATCTTGCTTCCGACATAATCAGAGCAAGTGGCTGTAGCTATCATAAAAAGCTTGCAAGAATCCGTAGTATAGTACCATCATCAAATTAGTGAAGCCAATATTAATACATTCGACAAGTTTTTTTCATTCTACTAATTAAATCAACTGACCTATGCATGAACAGGAATCGTTACATGACATAAGCACTTGAACATTGCAAGGAAGGTAGTATGGTTTCTTTGGAAATCGAACACGCGTTTCGAATTATCGTCGTGGATGGAACAGTTGCTCGGCAAGCGTAAACTTAAAATAAAGGTTTAATCGGCCAACTTGTGCCAGAAGCAAAGAAAAATGAGCGTCGAAACAGAAACAGCGAACGTCGCAGCTTCGGCGTCACAGCTGGCTGGAGCGAGACCTGCTAGAGAGAGAATGAGAATGAGCCGGCAAGATTAGGCTCGGCTCCTTTTCTAGTGCGCTCGGTTTCTCGGATATTCGACATAGAATATTCGAGGGTGTTCTAGGACGAGACTGACTCGGCAAGGTCATAGTGGCCTTACTAACATTTATGCTAGGGGTAAGAATATACTCGAATCTTCTAGAAGTACGGAGAAGCCATTCTTCTCGGTCTTTCACGCGGTAATCTTTTTATTTGCGTCAAAAACGTTTATTGTAGCCACTTTTTCATAATAAACGAAGTCAATTTTGTTAGAAAATGCACTTTTCTCCACAAACATCCGGAAGGGGAGCGGAGTGAAACACTAACTTCTTGCGGTTTGATTTTTGTACCGAGTTATTCTGTCGGTTGTTATGAATAGGTAAAAACAAAAACACACGCAGTGTTTATTTTCACTCCAAACTAGTCTGCTTTCGCTTAATTGTTCCCAGAAATAAAATAATGTAAAACACCGCATGTTTCATGTTTTGGTGACATTACTGGAGCCTTGTGTATTAGGACGCATGACACATTTTGCTTACTAAATAATATAAGCCTGTAGGTCTATAGATGTGCTATCGTCTGGTACCATTTAGTTTAAGTTATTTTTTCAAAAAATATTTTATATAATTCTTTGTTTCGTGAATAAATAAATGTAGTCATAATTTGAACCCTCCTTACGAAAAGAGGCAATTTTTGTTTATCCCTTATTTTTTATTCTTCGCTATAGTCTTAACTTATTTTGAGTTTAATGAAATGTCTCCCTTATTGTTGTATTGTCTGTAGAAGTGCGCATACATGGATATACGCACCGGAATCGGAAAAAGGGTAGCTTCTCAAGTTGGCTTTACTGCAATGTTTCTAGCCTTAAAATACAAAAAAGCATGGGGTTCGGAAGTGTTCGGGAGGTGATGGGGCGAGGGAGAGTGGTGGTAGATAGGGGAGCGGAGTGGGCACGTCTCGTTGGCGTGCCCCTATCAAAACAAAAAGTTTGCCCATATCCCCCGCTATTCCGACGCCAGCGACTACGCATGCTATTTATTTATATGTTTTTTTTTTTTTTGGCCAAGGCATTAAGGGGGAGGAGGGGAGGGGTTTAGGTAGTTATAAAGTGATGAAGGTAAAAAATTTCAGATCTAATAAAATGCACTAAGTATGACTAAATTTATTTTATTACGAGATTTAAACTTGAATAAAATTTATTTTGTAAAAATTTATTAAAGTGCTACCAGAAGATAGGACATGTCTATGTCTGGTTGCATTTAATATTAAGTAAGCAAAATGTGTAATGAATCCTTAGATAAAAGGCTACATATATTCACAAAAATGTCTAAGAAACAATGTGTGGCTTTTTTTAATATTTCGCATTAAATATGCAAGAGCAGCCTAGTGTAAAGAACGAAATAGGCTTTGCGTGAGATATTTGCAAGAAACATTACTGAATGCTTGTTTTTCCCCGTTCCTAACTACCGACAGAACTGAATACAAAAAATCAAGCAACCAAAATGTTATATTTTTCATGGCACCCATTTCTTTTTTTTTTTAAAGATTACATTTTTATGCAGTTTTAGATAGTCGTTTTCCTTTATTGCGGTAATTAGGTTATACTATATAATTTTAATGCAAATCAAGATTGCCAATTTAAAACGCGTGTTTGTTTCCGGGGGAACTCAATCCTTGGTATGAGCATAAATACTACGTATATCAAATACAGCTCTTGATATTAATTTTTAGCTTTGATAATTTTATTCCAGTAATTACCTCATAAAAATAACGACCTGCCTTGACGTGGTAGCAACTACAAACACGTGCGTCTCTTTACCGCAATATTTACAACTCTCTAAACTGCGCGGAGGTCCAGTTTATGTTCAAATATATTTTAGGTACCGAATTTATATTTGTTTTGTTACTTCGGACGCTTAAATATGGATAAAAGTTACACACAATCTCATTTCAAACACTGATACGACAAGCTATATTCGTCGCCGAATATGCATAATTAATTTAATGGTTCTCATGGGTAACTACACAATTTTATACGAGACACCTTTTATATTTATTATGCATATTAAGGTTACTACTAAACAAGTGCTGATAAGTAACAGAAACACATATTCAAATGTTGCCTGTGTCCAAGCCCTGCTTTGAATACTTGGATGTGTGTTATACACAAAATAACGCGGGCATAATAAAAGTAACTCGCGTACTTTTCCAGCTGATGGACCACTGGGTCATCCACTACTATACTCTGATTACCAAGACTGCCATATTGTGAGAATAAAGAAAAAGGACTCGACAGGTAGGTTCGCGCTTTTCTTTAACCCAGAATGTTCTAGTGACTTAAAATTAAATCCAAATGTTTTGCATTGATGTATTTTGTTCACTCCACTCAGTCAATATAGGTTTGCTGGAGTCGAGTCAATTTTCATGTTCCATGTATACGAAGACAGTGAAAGCTGCGAAAAAGATAGAGCATACATGCCTATTAGTAAATATTAGTTTTTTGCCTATGCTTAAAATAATTTAACAGTAAAATTATGCATATGATATTATTACTTTAACTTTCCTAGAACCGTAAGTGTCGTGGCTGGGAAGCTTGTGGGGAGGGGGCGGGGGAAGGGGGGGGGGGGGGTTCGATTTCACTAAAGCAAGCTCATGACGGCCATCTCTGGTTGGGAGTTCGACGAGCTATTTGCTTATCCTTTATGATTATAATATTTTTTGCCTCGACACTTGATTTTTGAAACTATTCAGGACTTATTATATCTGTTTTATTCGAGAAAAATAGCCCTATTGAAAATTCCATCAAGGTACGTAATTTGGGACACTGACTGCCAGTCAGCAGCCTTGGTGGAACGTGATGGACCACCAGACGTCATCTGATGGTCCATCAGATGACGTCTGACTGCCACTGCCAGGGGATTTTCATCAACAAGGGCAGCATTTACATAAGAGTAAAGCTATACGCACTCATAAATATCGCCAAATGCCTCGGTAAAACAAAATGTTCGAGAAAAAAAAGAAAAAAAAAAGAATAAGCAGGACCACCGCGGATTCCAACCCGCGACCACTTGCGTACAAATCCCACACCGTAACCGCTATGCTATGGCACCGTTTTTGAAACTCGATTTCACTAATCGTTTTATACGAGATGCTTCGGCTGCAAATGCAGTTAAGCCGTCAGCACGTTATGCAAAGCACTCGTACATCACTCGCCGTACTTCAGTTCTACTCACCTGCCATGTAGAGTACTTCCACTCGTAGAACGATCCTTTTGTTCGCGCGTCACCGGCCCAGTAGACCTGGTACACTTTGTCGTCTTCAACTACACCGCTAAAGTCCCTTACATCGTCGGAACTCACAACAGGCTGGGTCTTGTCGGGTAGAAATTCTACTAAAACATAATACATTGTAGAACCCTGGCAGGATCGACAGGTTGGAGCAAGCGGGCAAACAAAACGAGTCGAGAGCGATCGTTCATGAAAGCTCGGCGAAGCGGCGAAGCCTCTATGGGCGAAGCGAAGTGTCGTTTTCGGCGCTTCGGCGGGCTTCTGATCAAGGTTGTCGGTCAATCGCGTGTCAAATATCTAACGTCAGCGGTTTTATGGGCTCACGTCCCGAAATCATTTTCTCGTCCATAGATTACTTTTCGTATTCATAGATTTGACGAAATAGTGGTGTCCGAACGAACTTTACGTCCTTTGACCGTACGTCTGTCTGCACGTTAAAGCTTTTTGACGTACAGTCAGAGACAATCGATGTACAGTCAGAATCGCCACCAAGACATCCTGATGGAATTTCGCGGCGGCCGACTGCCACCAGGAAACCATCAGAAAGCCGACAAGCAGTGTCTGACTGGAGTTTGACTGTCGCTCAGAGTAACTTGTTGGCCAATCAGACATGCTTGACGTACAGTCAGGCACAGTCAGCGGTCCACTAGAAAACATTGACTGCCAAACAGGGTTACATTGATGGATTTTTCCTTCGGGAGGCATTATATAGCGTATTTTACCAAGGCTACGTAAGGAAAATTTATATGCTTGATATATTTTGAAACGTAACAGAACAAACGCTAAGGAATGTAAAAAAAAATAACACGTTGTAAAAAAAGAAAAAAAAATACGTGTCTAAATAAAGGAAGAGACAAGGTTAATGAAACCTGTAGTGTAAAAATGTTTGAACTTAATATTTATATTTTAAAATGTGCGTGAACTGTAAGGACAAGCTTAGCAGTCTGCCAGAAGTATAAAAAAAAGTTATGTCTGCGGGCTGCATTGCTTCACCAATGGAGCTTCGGGAAAAAGTCATTAGGATGTCAGACTCGACCTAAATCAGCCACATATACGAAGGGGCCCAAAAACCCCGAATTGCTTGGCAGTTCCTTTCTTTCTCTTTCTTTAAGGGGGGGGGGGGGGGGGGGGGGAGGTGCGCGCATTGTGTTTAGGGATTGCTGGGATTATTTTTATAATTGTTTGCGAAGCACGATGCTTTATTTCGCAATTTTAACATTCATACAGGGCTTTAGGCACAAGAAATGTATCATTGCTTCATGTTACAAAACAATTTTCTATTAATTCTGGGAGCTCAAGAATACCTATAGATGAAAAACGTGTTTTCATGGTTTAATTTTTTTATTAAAAGTTACGTCAGGAATTTTGTAATAAATATGATGGTAGTTCGCAATGAATATATTTAATTAGCAGTGACAGGTCGCACGGCTCTGTCGTTATTAGATGTTGATTTGCATTTTAATTATAAAAGTGTTGCAATAATTCATTTTTAATCCTTTCGGGATAACGTTCAAACATTTCTGAGCAACATATTTATATTTTTCCGGGCCAGTTCCTCCCATGATTTATCTGTAACCGTTCGCTCACGCTTTATACTAAGCATACATCTCTACCGATCATATTCCCAAACAGCTTAGCGTCAGAAATATTGAAATTAACAATATATATGTCTTAAGCGATATGTTGTTCATCCCTGTCGTCTTATTCTGGCGGCAACCTGTTATGTGAGTTTTTGTTTTTTGTTCTATAGATCTCTGAACAGTGTGCATTTTTTTATGCACACTATATTATTTTCTGTTGCTTGCTCGATGCACGCGTCTGCATTTCAATACGTGCTGTACTGCTGCTGCATTTTTTTGTGGGCTTGTTACCAGGCAAGCTTCTTATAAACACGTTTTATTTCTTTGTTTCCCCCATTCATTATGTTTGTTTGAAAATAAATAAATAAATAAATAAATATATATATATAATTATTCGCAGTATAATTTGAAAAAAAATCTTTAATATAAAAGAATCGGCAAAGCTTTTGACCAACCATTATTATTATTTTTTTTTTCAGATTACCGTTGTGACATGCTACTAACAAACGAGGCTGCAAAGAAAAGCCCGCCCACTGATTGCGAAGAAAAGTTTACAAAGTATTGTAAAGGTGCTTCGTATGAAGTCTACAGCACCAGTTGTGATGAAACAGGTACAAAAACTGCCTGAAGTCGCACTTGAGGACTATAGAAATATTTCTCAAGTGTAATACCTCTTGAAATAAAACGGCCTGTTATAAATATTGGATTTTTCTCAAGGACGTTGGCATTGTTTATTAAACAAGACGGTACACATATACATGTATCTAAATAATAAGGCCCTGCAGGGATTTGAAAGTTTTACCGAACAGTCGGTTACTTTGTATTTATTAAATTAACAAGTAATTGCTCAGTACAGCGAAAAAAAATGTGAAAGTATTGTAAAAGTTTAAGTATAGAAGTGTACCTTCGGGACACATAATAATTGAGATTCGTATATCCTCATCAACAGGCTTATATTTGCATAGCCTTAGTAGTAACAAAGTGTGTTAGCACAGGGCTACACACGGGAGAAAAGGAGCACAAGGAGGTTCTGGCCCTTGCTGTTGACGGGGCTAACGCGAAAATTGAACGATATTTTTTTTTTTTAGTTTGTTTGATTGAAAAAATGTTTTGTTTGCTTGAGCAATACAAATGACGGGAACAATGTCGAGATTAAGAAAGGACAGGTCCCCAAACATCGGGAAGCAGATTTCACACTCTAAAAAAAAAGCCCCTGCGTCTACTTCCCCACAAAACACTTGGAGAGCCATTCACCGCAATTTACGGAGGCAGCTCAGGGAATGACGATGCCGAAACATATGTTTAGACCAAAAGACGCAGTCTGAGTTTTGACATTAACCAATGCAAAACGTCACGCATGCATTGCTTAATCTTACAACTCAGGCTGCGTCTTTTGGTCTAAACATATGTTTCGGCATCGTCATTCCCTAAGCGGCCTCCGCAATTCGCTATGAGTGGTTCTCTAAGAGTTGTGCGGGAAAGAAGATGCACAGGATTTTTATAGAGTGCAGGAGATGAACGGGAATCCATTCGTGTTTGAGCTCGGCGAAGCGACAACTCAAGTCCGCGCACCTGGAAATCTAAAGGCGGTCCTGCCGAGTGTCTGTGGCTTTAGCTCGGTGCAAACGGGGCTTCTCCACTAGAGATAAAAAATTGCTTTAAAAGCAAAATTAATTTGCATTACAAATTACTTTTCTAAAGATGCGCATATGCAAACAAATTACATTACAAAATTATCGCAGACTGCAAGTAATGACTTTACATTACAAATCCTCTCCACACGTAATGCAATTAGTTGGACGTTTCATTTCAATACCTTGAGGCAACTATCCCTGCTCATGTTATGTACTGTATATGCAGCAAAATTCAGATCTCCCTGTTTACACTGCAACAAGCTTACGTGCCTCAAAGTGAGCCATACTGAGCAGTCGTTTCGCTGGCGCGCACGATAGATGTGTTAAGCATGATATATAGCTTCCTTAGATGTGACTCAACGACAGTCAACTCACCGTTTCGCTATTCATTAAACGTCAAAAATCTTTTGTTAAAAGGTTATGTGTTTCCATTTCCCTGATATTGATTGAGCTATAGTCCGTGTCAGTAAGTTAAGTTGAACCATCGGAGCTCGCTCTTACAAGGAAGCGTCATGTGGAACGTTCACTTTCCAACTCGGGCGGACGCTAGCCGACGGCTGTACGGTCATTTCTTTTGAAGAGTACCCCAAACCCCAAGAGTCCAAGGAGGCACGTAACCAGGATTTTGATTTGATGGGGGGCAGGGCGCCCATGACAAAGTGCCGTATAAGGGGGAGGGGGAGAGGAGGCCCCAGCAAAATAGACCGATGGGCGGGGGGGGGGGGGGGGAAAGGGGGCCCCCATGCCCCCCCTCTCCCTTCCCCTGAATATGTGCCTGGGCCCAAGTAATTGTGGGTTGTCACACAAGGGGGCAGGATGTTCCCTAGGCAGAAGCGTGGTAGAATGTACGGGCTCGCCGGACCATTCAACCGTCTGATTTTTATCACTTGATTCCGCTCTCTGAGCGCGGATAACGGCAGGAGCGTGATCACGTGGTAAAAGTTTGATGGATGACGCAGAAGTATTGCGGTTTCCAATCCCGGAATGCTTGCTTGCTGACCCAAAACAGTGACCTAGATTGGTGTGTGCTGCGGGCTGCGGGACTGCCACGGATTTTTTTGGTAAATGGTATTCGCGACTCCAAATCACTATAGGTGCCGCCACCTGTTTCCAAAGTGGCAGTTATAGTGAGGGTCGCAGATGCGTGCAGGTATACGAGTTGCTGAGCCTGTCTCGACTGCTGAATTCACCGGGCGACACAAGTTATTCTTGCTAATATGATGAAGCTAGGGTGTTATGAGCGCAGGTCTTTTCTTTATCCAGAAAACAAAAACGGTGTTTAGAATAATATTTACGTCAGGAGGCACATTTTAATTCTGGAACGAAACCGAAACTACCGGTATTTTGGATTTAATTCGTCGATATAGGTGTTACATTCTGATCCTTTCATCACTCAAGATGTGTGTCACAGCGTAATTATTATGCTGAAGAAGTTGTTCGCCGAAAATTTATTGTGCGACATAAGGGTTCGATCCAGGTATTTCAGAATATTTTGGAGAGTTCACTGTCCCTTTAAAGACAAGGTCTTTCATACATCTTAGAGGTAACAAAGGCTATTGTATTTCTTGATTGAAAAAAATATATGCTGATTTTTCTGTTCTTGCGGCATATTCACGCTGAGATAATTGGGATGTGAAATAATGAACTGCGTGACTTCTAATAGGTTTTTGTGTATTTAGACGATTTTGCTTTAACATTTTTCCCAGCTCAAGAATAACAAAATCAATCAAAATTTTACAAACTATCGGCACGGTTGAGGCGTTTATAATATTTTCTAAAAACGTATAAATTAAAGGGAAGCTGAAGAGCTTTTCGAAAAAAATAGCTAATATTTGATTTTGACGTGTTTGTGCCTGCTGAGTCCAAATCTCGCAATCGTTTGACCCAAAATAATTCCTAAATGCGAAAAACGCGAAGAAGACAGAAGCGATCGCCGCAGCGGCACGCCATTTTCTAGTCACATTGGAGCGTCACTACGTCATAAGAGGACCATCTCGATTCTAGCTTGCTCCATCGCTTGCGGAAGTAGCCGGGCACCGAGGGTTTTGCTCATGTAAATCGGGTTCGGCTTCTGATTTTTCGATATCATTCGGTAGATCCGAAAGAGGAATGTGTCCAGAGGACCATCGCCGTGAGAAACTACGCGTTCCAGATGTTTGGCAAAGCAAAATAATGGGCAGACACGAGGAACCGCTTGCGCCGACGTGACATACGCTCAGGAACGTACTGACTGCTACTTATTGTAACGTAAAACGATGACAATAAACGGAATGCTATTGACGGGACATGTCAGGCCGGATTAGCGTGACCCTCTCGAAAACGGTTGTCAGAGGATAAGAATTCGGCACACACCGATCTTCATGCTTGGCAGCTGCTGGACACGTGAGAGTGCAGGCGGCATTGTTCACCAAGGCTGAAGCGGGTTGAGAAGAGCTTTCCCTGAAATGAGACGGGTGATGATACCGTGTCGCCGGTCTTCCACCGCCATGTCCTTGCGTACTACGCGAATAACTGCGCAGAAGGTCCATCCTTGTGATAGTAGTACCCTCTGCTCCGTTTAGTTTGTTTGTTACCAACTATGACGCCATAACAGATTTAGAAAAGGCGGAGATATGTGCCCGGCAGCCCTCAATTTAATTTAGAAATCATGAAAGCTTCCTATGCCTCTACATTCACATACTTCTCCCAAGGTTTGTTGACCGCATTAGACTACCACCAAGCATTATCATCGTCCAATCGCATTTCTCCGGCTCAAAGAACCATTGCATAACATAAGCTTAACACGAAAAACACTGCGTAACTTGTAAAAAAAAGAACTCAATTCACCACAAATTGTCACATGCTTTGTATTTCCAAAAAGCACTCCGCAAGGAAATATGTATATATGCAAAGGAAATGTAACAAAACGTATATGTTTACGTTTAAAAATATGTGACCTCAAATAGTATCAGAAACTGTAAAAACAAAAAAAAAATCTCCATGGTAAAACAAGTTGCACCGTGAAAGTTGGATGATCACTTGCATGGCCACTTATTACAATTTAAATGGTAGAAACAGCGCAAAGCAATAACAAAGCACGGGTAAAAGAAGTGCAGAGCCACATCGTTGTTTTATTACTTCTTACAACGAGCTCTCCTCTCCCAAGTGACTGGTAGCGGAGTATAATAAAAACAAAATAAAAACTCTTGGGTAGCGGAGTCGGTCCGGGAAGTATGGTCACTTCAACGATATAAAAAAGAAACAAAAACCAAAACACAAATATATGGCGGTTAACACAAAAGAGCTAGTGAAGCCCGCCATTTGGCTACATGATCGCGGGTTTTTAGTACACTGTACAATTTTTATAACGTAACAGCTTTTTTTCCAGGACAGTCGACTTAAAGTTCCTACCTAATTTCGTCTCCTCCTGGCGTGTGCCTTTTACTGCGCTGATTCGCTTGCTTACCTTTAAAGATGGTCGTCGCAGCGTAGGGTTCAGGCGGGCCTTTTTCAGACCCAAACCCATCCGTACATTGTTATCATATGCACCGTCCGGAACACGTTCTGAACAAAAACAATGTATTTGCTCAAACTCGTCTATATGCATCCCTTTCAAAGCTTGGTGTCGTAGTGAAAACGACGGTAAGAGGGAAGAACAACTGCGTCGAGTGTTTTTCGTGCAAGCCGACGGTTACAGAAGTGTACGCCATCGTGCAACAGCGCGAGTCACTTGCTTCATTGCCAAGAGAATTCCGCAAACCCGTGAACAAACAAGAGAAAAATTAACACGTCAGGCAATTTATTCACTATCACGACTGGTCACCGGATAAAACTAAGCGCTATGCTGCGGCAGAGTGACGACGGCTCGAAAAGTCAGAAGAGCAGCTTACGAGGGAAACGCGGCCAGCCGCGGGGTCCCCCAGCCGGTTGTTTTGTGACGTCGGCTCAAGCGTTTCCTCCTCTCTCCCCTCTCTTCCTGCTTCGGAGGGGCGTGGCTTCAGCACTACATTGAACG